CACACAGCCTCTTCCCAATATGCGTTTTTGCAATTTACATATATGCAAAAACGCATTAAAAAAATGCTCCTAGGCTATATCAGTAATGTTATCCGTCATCCCATGCACTGACAACAGTACGTCCAGCCACAAGACTAGCTAGAAGTTGGGGTTACACAAAAGTCACTCCGTGGAAGCACCGCACAGAAGGGATACGCAGAGCAATTTTGATTCATTCGTCAAACATTGTGAAACTGCCTTTGTGCGATTGCAAGTCTCAGTATTAAAACTCCACGATAGACGTTTTGAGGGCACTGAACAACCGAAATTCATGTTGATGAAAGTACCAAATGTCATCGACAAGATGTTATTTGAGAATATCAGCCATGGCGCGGAAGCTGTGTTCAGAAACACACTGCACTCAAGTGTACCTTGTACTTTAAGTTAAGAATCAAAAGCCCTCCAAAAATAGTTCTAAGAAAATGTGCCACTCGGAGAGTGATTTGGGTAGATTTCAGAATTTGATTACAGAACAGTTGCATCATGAAGCTCCTTATACAATTTCTAAATTTCATGCAACATTTTCATAAGCAAAAACTGGTCTTCATATATGCCGGTAAAATATTGTGTCTGAAATAAAAACCATCTGTTTGCGATTTTTCGAATAAAAATGTGAATTTTTGCAGATGATAAGAACAAGAAACAGTGCAAAGATATGAGGGATTTGTGTGAAGATATAAAAGTATGGAACATGGATCCACAAGACCAAACGGTTGGGCAATTCTTGACAATGTGTGGCCCAGATTGCAATCTTTGCCAACAAAAAATTCAACCGAAACCACAGCAAAAGAAGCAGAAGCCAAAATCACCACCAGACCAAAAAAAACTAAAGTCGATACTGGAAAAACTGCGAAAATTATTTTCGGTAAGTTTATAAATCAGCTATTTTTTGGTGGTATTGTTATGCATTAATTTTAGCTTAAAAATTAAATTTTTCAGTAAGTCGTGAAGCAGCGCAGTTTTTATGGTTATTTCTCGGCATATCATTGATGAATCCGGCCAATTCCAGAGTTTCTGCTTTTTGACGCGTGTGAAAAACAAAAGGATTTTTCTTTCAGTTTTGATGTTATTTGCGTTCAAAATTAAAATTTAAAAAGAGCTGCACATCACTTTATTAGCATGGGATCTGTTCCACACAAGTGAAGCATACTGTGAATACCAAAAACACGTCGATATCCAATACGGGTATTTCGTGTTAGTGAATTAGTGCGTTTATGCGTGTTCCACCACTCGGACTACTTCCTTGTGCCTTAGCTTCTCACAGCTAGCGAATACGGAGAGAGTTTCGACTTTTCGACCAGTATCAAATATTCTTCCTCGTTAGTATGGATTTTTGAAAAGTTCCTGGAAACGTGAAATTTTAACGATTTTGGAGACTATCTTATTACCATTATTATCATAATTGTTTTATTCCGATCATCACCTTTATCAGCATCGTGTACCATTACTGTTCGGAAGGGATGCACTATCGAACAAGTGAATCGAGGGGCAGAACACAGGATGCATCATTCGGGATAAATTGTTGAAACCTTCCAAACGAAAAGAGGGAATTTTCCGTACTAGCCGCAAACCGGCCTGAACTTCCACCAGCAGTCGTACAAATTGTAAGAGGAAGTCATCGATAATCTTGTCAACGGGTAGCCACTGTTGGCATTTGCTACTACTCAGACTACTCCCCGAGTTCTTCTACTTCCCATAGCGAAAGAATACAGAGGCAGCTCTGACTTTTGCACTTTGAGCAATACACAGATAGCTTTCTAGATGTTTCTTTTTGACTTCTTCACATGAATAGATCTCGTAAGAGAAAACGACTATTTGGAGGATTTCAAAGAATGTGAACTGGTTCCACAACCACAGATGTCTTTTCCTAATTTCAGGACAACTAGTTCCAGAATGAATAGCCGCATGGTCAATTTGGCACCTACAGCTGTTATTTTTTGAAGCATTTGTTTGGCTTTTAATAAAGTTCATTCCTCCTCTGATCCTTACAAATTATATGTCCGTTTTTTGTAGCACACCAAGATCACCAAGATAGCCACAGTGAATATCCCCCGGGAGAAACATCCCAAATATGAATCAATAATAAGTTAATAAACCTTTTCAAGTACCTAAAAATTCCCTTTTAAGTATTTCAGGTATTCAAATATCAAGTAAGTATTGTGTAAGTGTCACAGCGAGGTGGAATCCACATACCGACTTTTTGGGTGGCTTTGGTATTCCTGGTACTGTGTAATTGTTTTGGTTAATACGAAATCAATATTCGAAATTCATTTATTTCACTCTTTATGAAAAACACTTGAAAATAGTCTTAGTGAAAGATACCGCTAACAAACAACCACAGCGCCGACAAGATTGGTAGCAATGTCTCTCTCCTATATATTGTAGACTAAGTAGCAGAATTCCATAACTAAGGCAGGGTTCAGGGCGAAAAAAACAATTAAGATACAACAGAACACACAAAAAAAGGCACAGAAACAAAGTATCCAAAAAATAATTAGTCGACGACGGAAAGACATTCGGTAAATGATGAACAAAACTGATAAATATTTGGTATCGCTGCGTATGAAAGATTGCATTTTGGGATGATGAAGAACCTCAAAAACAAACAGGCAGTGCGTGTGAAATTTGAAAAAAAAAAATGATAATGGTACAGTTCAGTGGCGTAAAAAATTGCTGAAAAAGGGATAGAATTTAAATTTGCGATCGAAATAACGGACTTCTATGAAAAAAAACAGCACTCTCATTGCCCTCCAGTCCTTTCATTTGAAAAGTGCCTTATTTAGGTCTGAAAACTAAATTTTTTGCTTCCTTAAAGCAAATATATTTGCAAAAATCATTGCACTATTTAATTCGATTTCTTGCACTTTTTTATGTGTGTGGGAAATTCTAGCGCGCGACAAAAAAATTCCGTTCTCTCATCGCTCATCGTCGGATACGCCACTGATAAAGTTACATTTGGCTACCAACAGCAGCATATTTCTTATCACTGCTGTTGCTATCATTCATAGTTCTCGCGTGTCCCTATCCGTTGTAATTTTGCAAATTTGAGAGCCTAACTTTGTAAAAGCACAGCAAATCGGACACCTAGCAAGAAGCCGAAAACATGACTACGTTTGAAGTCATTTCCAGTTTTAACTAGTAATAGATAATGAGGTAAAATCCACATAGCTGTACAAAAAAAAAACACTGTTTCGAAGCCATGATAAAAAATTTGCATAGAAAACAAGTGGTATCAGAAATTTTTCAGGAAAAGAAAAAAATTAAAAAACTTGGAAAAGAGCTTAAAGCTTCTGATACCAAATTTTTATAATAGTAGGTATTAGCAGAAAAATTTTGATGCGTTAAAATTTGTATCAGTTAAAGAGTCGGAACCTCTTTCGTATTCGACTTCATGAGAAGCGCATTACTATTATTAGATAATACTAGTCAAACCTGACAAAAAATAAGGTAACACCCCCTAGAAAAAAAACAGTGGAGTAGCCAAAGTGTGACGGAAGGGAAAGTAAGCATAAAGCTGTGGCAGCGAAAGAAAACAAAATTCGATGAGTGGGACATTTCGCTGACAACCTGTGAACAACGACTGTCAGTGAGTGGTATCCACTAAAAAAGAGATGTCGACTCGGAGTAACCTCCGGAGAGATTGCGCATATAATCGAACAGAGGCCGGTACTACTGGAGGTATGTAGTTCAGGATTTTGGTACACTTAGTAATTTCACACACTGACGAACAAGCGAAAAAAAAAGAATTTTTTCCAGCAGACTTTTTTGAAAAATTATCGAAAATTTCTCCGGTCCCTCTATCAAAATTTCAAAAAAAATTAGTTATGTCACTGTACAAAGTGATGCCAAATAAAGACTGCTTTAAGCAAAGCTTTTTAGGTTTTAAAAAATCAAAATTTTTTAAATCCTTTAAGCAGAGCTTCCTAGATTAAAAAAAAAGCTAATTTTTTGTTGTTTTATTTTTTCATTAAAAATATCAGTCATTCGCACCACCTTGCTTGTTTTTGGCTGTAAACTCGTTTACTGAAAAATGTGGCTGATGACGCTAAATAGCACAAAGAAATTGTGGACGTGATTGTACTTTCTTCTGGGTAGATCCTTTACAAGTTATAAAGACTCAGTAACTCGAAAATTTTGATCCATCCAAAACCACTAAAAATTGCCGTCCATCCAAAACACGCTTAAAAAATTGAGAAAAGTCAGAGAATTGCTAACAGTCGAAACAACACAGTACGAATAACTGGGAAAATCTTACTGCTGCACTAGCATCATTTTGCTTCAAAAAGAAAATTTCAGGATGGTGACGAAAAAAGTTCGTTATATAAATCTGGCCGTTCCTTATATAACTCCCTATATAAAAGTTCCCTATATAAATCTGGTAGCGCATCTTGTATCTTGTATTTCGCTTCCGTATTTCGCTTGTATTTCGCTCTACTGCTTCCGGATATTCCGTGAAAAGTTGTCTTAGCAATTTTTATATGGTCTTGAGTATGACCATGCAAATGCTATATTATTTCGCATAATTTCTGCATCAGTGGACCGAGCCCTAATAATCAGAGATTAGTTCGGAAGCATCCTAAAAGCACAAGTGGGAAACATAGCATCAGTTGTCCTGATGGTCTTTGTTTGCAAAAGGAAGAAGCAGAAATAAGAAGGGAATGGAGGTGCCTGACCCGCTTTTCCTTACCCCACTTGCCTTTTGCTTCCATGTAATATACAAATGCCCAGCTTCCAATCTGGGTTATCCCTTGCGATACAAAGTGATGTGATTAAGCGTAATGAGTTTGGTAATGATGCGTATTGGCTTGTACCGGCAGCTTGACGCTGTTGTCAGCTAAGTCCATAGCGCCCATCTTCGTTGGTCTCGTTGTGTTTTGTTAAAGTCTATTTTTGGCTCGTTGGTGGCTCAACTTTACATTTTAACTAGTCTGGGAAATAGCGCAGTGTTTTTTTCAAAATAAGATCATCGGTCAGTTGGATCCGGACCAGATCACTGGATGAATTACTTGTAGTACAATGTAAGGTCAAGGGAATTTTTTAATTGGACAATCTCATTCACTGGTAATAGAATTCCCGGCCACATCTTAGTTATGCAACTCGAGTCACTTTACAGCCACTCTGCGAAAAATTCGCACCGAAGCAGTGCGTAGTGAAATCCCGACTCATTCGACAAATATCGTACAGGAGTTGTGCAACTGCAAACAGATTCTAGCGGAAAGAATGAGGAAAAATCCGCGACAGATATTTTCGGATGTTCGGTAACACTTATTTCTTTCGTATTAATATCCAGGCTGAAACGCGCCAGGCTCTCAGGTGCTATCATGCGTTTTTGCACTAAGCTTCCAGATCGCTATTAGCAGGAATGATCCCTACGCTATAGCCTAACACTTGGATCATATTGGC